GGGAGGCCAAGGTGGGTGGACTGCTTGAACTCACAAACTTGAGACCATCCTGAGCAAGATCCCCTCTCTACTAAAAACAGAAAAACTAGCTGGGCATTGTTGCAGATGCCTAAAGTCCCAGCCACTCAGGAGGCTGAATGGAGAGGATTGCTCAAAGCCCAAGAGTTTGAGATTGCTGTGAGCACTCTACTGAGGGCAACAGAGTGAGACTCTGTCTTAAAAAGCGAACAAACGGCTCGGCACCTGTAGCTCAAGCGGCTAGGGCACCTACCACATAAACCAGAGCTGGTGGGTTCAAATCCAGCCTGGGCCCACCAATCAATGACAACTACAGCCAAAAAATAGCCAGGTGTGGTGGTGAGTGCCTGGAGTCCCAGCTACTTGGGAAGCTGAGAAGAGAATCACTTAAGCCCAAGAGTTGAAGGTTGCTGAGAGCTGTGATGCCACAGCACTCTACCTAGGGCAGTGGTTCTCAACCTTCCTAATTGCTGCGTTGTTACAAATGGGAAAAGGGGGGTCGCAACCTACAGGTTGAGAACCGCTGACTTAGGGCAACAGCTTGAGACTGTCTCAAAAAAAAAACAAACAAACAAAGAGCCTTTTGCATTCCTATTGTTTGTTTGTTTGTTTAGAGCCAGAGTCTCACTTTGTCTCCCTTGGTAGAGTGCTGTGGCCTCACAGCAACCTCCAGCTTTTGGGCTTAGGCGATTCTCTTGCCTCAAGCTCCCAAGTAGCTGGGACTACAGGCACCCACCGCAATGCCCGGCTATTTTTTCTTGCAGTTTGGCTGGGGCCAGGTTCGAACCTGCCACCCTAGGTACATGGGGCTGGCGCCCTACTCACTGAGCCACAGGCGCCACCCTGCATTCCTGTTTTAGATTCTTAAATTGTTCTTGCTGAAATCTTCCCGTCAATGACCACCAGTATGTCCCAGATCACTAAAACATGTACAAAACTACGTCAGAAAGCATCTATTTCACCAGCCATGCAACATAACCAGAAAGAATCATGTGAAAAAGAAAAATCAAACTGTAGGAACCTTTTTTTTTTGAGACAGAGTCTATGTTGCCCTTGGTAGAGTGCCATGGTGTCACAGCTCATAGGAACCTCAAACTCTTGGGCTTCAGATTCTCTTGCTTTAGCCTCCCAAGTAGCTGGAACTACAGGTGCCTGCCACAACACCCGGCCATTTTTTTGTTGCAGTTGTTATTGTTCTTTAGCTGGCCCCAGCTGTGTTCGAACCAGCCAGCCTGGGTGTACATGGCCAGCGCCCTACCCACTGAGCTATGGGTGCTGCCAGGAACTTTTTTTTTTTTTTTGAGACAGAGCCTCAAGCTGTCCCCCTGGGTAGAGTGCCATGGCATCACAGCTCACAGCAACCTCCAACTCCTGGGCTCAAGCGAGTCTCCTGCCTCTGCCTCCCAAGTAGCTGGGACCACAGGCGCCCACCATAACGCCTGGCTATTTTTTGGTTGCAGCCATGATTGTTGTTAGGCAGGCCGGGCTGGATTTAAACCCGCCACCTTAGGTGTATATGGCTGGCACCTAAGCCACTTGAGCCACAGGTGCCGAGCCAGGAACTTTTTAAAAAAATTTTATTTATAGGGTTGGGAGCGGTGGCTCACTACTGTAATCCTGGCACTCTGGGAGGCTCAGGCGGGTGGATTGCTTGAGATCACGAGTTCAAGACCAGCTTGAACAAAAGCAAGAACTTATCTCTATTAAAAATAGAAAAACTGAGGCAAGAGATTGCTTGAACCTGAGTTGGAAGTTGCTATGAGCTATGACGCCATGGCACTCTACCCAGGGTGACAGCTTGAAACTCTTGTCTCAAATAAATAGATTTTTATTTATAGGGCCAGGCATGGTGGCTCACGCCTATAATCCTAGCACTCTGGGAGGCCGAGGTGGGTAGATTGCCTAAGCTTACCTGTTCAACACCAGCCTGAGTCAGATTGAAACCTTGTCTCTAAAAATAGCCAGGCGTTGTAGCGGACGCCTTAGTCCCAGCTACTTGGGAGGCTGAGGCAAGAGAATTACTTAAGCCCCAGAGTTTGAGGTTGTTTTGAGCTGTGATGCCACGGCACTCTACGGAAGGTGACAAAGTGAAACTCTCAAAAAAAAGAAAAGTGAACATTTAGAGGCAAGAGATGGAGTGTGTTTCACTATTAGATATTTCACTTGTCTTGCTGCTGAATCAGTAAACAGGACCAATGAAAACGATCCAGCAGGCTGACCAGTGCAGGCATGCAGACAATATAAGTCTGACCCTTCTGTGGCCCCAGCTATGCTCAGCTCCTAATACCATCATCTGTCCTGAAGACACTTGGTATCGTGTGTTATGATGGGTGTAGATGGTTTGGATTACAACCTTCTCAGTCTACAGTGTCCTGCCTGCTCTAACCCAGGATGAAAGTTTATGTTGATTCTTACTTGGCTTCAAGGAACCGATTAGCTCAATGTTGCTGAAATGGAAACTTTTTACAGAACACAACTCTGTGAGGGATGGGTCTTGCAAAGAAGGCGACACTTGCATTTTTACTCAAATTATCTTTTATTCCTGTGGCATAAAAAAGGTATAAATATGATTTATGTAAAACCAATCACCTGTGCACTCAAGCAGAAGGAACATGAAACTGGAGTACGTATCTCTCCAAGCCAGAGAAAGGAGGAGGAAGCAAAATCAGGTCCAAGCTGCCCACTGTAGGTTCCCCTGCCCCAGATGCAGTGATAGGCGCACCTGGAAATAAGTGAACAGCTCTGTGTCCAATAGGGTAGCTTGTTAGGCAGTGCCTCAGGATGGAGGACGGTGGTGTGAAGGGCTCTAGGGCACATCTGTAAATGAGGCACTTGATGGCAAGCACGCCTGAGATGGGAGCCCGTCACGTGAAAACCACGCAGGTCGCAACTGCCAACAGGGATGAGCTGAGGGTCTTCGCATCTCCTAGATCTCTTTCCTTCACATGATTATTTGATGTGGAGCAGGGAACAGCAGGAAGCAGGGACAAAAAAGACAGTCCACAGAAGAGAAACACGATGGAGCAAAAGCCTCTGGCTCCCTGGCAAGCACCTCAGCATACCAGGCTGAAAGCAGACACATGGAGATCTTGGGTGCTCAAGGCTCAGAGAAACACTCTGGGATAGATGAACTGGTACTGAGAGTCACATGATTTGTTGAAAGATACTTAGCGAAGATCTGATTTGTGATGAAAAGTGACAGGCCCACAATCTGCACCAGTGAAGCAGGTATGGGTAGCTAGCAATCCGCACATCAAGAGGGCCCGCCCAAGCCTGCCCAGGGAGGCCTGCAGAGCTCAGGAGGCAGCTGGTGGGTCCTCGCCAGGTACTCTCCCGCCACCTCTCTTGATAATGATGAAGTGTTTACACATCCTGTCTACAGGTGTGTGCGTCCCTCCACACTAATGGCTCCATAGTGACACAGTTCTGGGAGGCACTCTTGGGTTGAAAATGAAGGCAATTATCAAATTACTCTCAGTCCTAACTAGTCTAAGTCACCTCGAGATTGGTTCCAGCCAACCTGCTCTGAGAGAGGGATAGAAAGAGGGGACCGTGACATCAGTGCTTTCCCAGCCCCATGAGGGGACAGCCCAGCTCTGTGAAACAAATACCACACTCCTTCTCATAAAGAAAACAGAATTCTAGATTTGTTTTCTAGTAGACATGAATTCTTTTCTTAGGGTGGGTAAAGTGACTGTCATCACTTTCTCCCATTGGTAAGGTGGAGGAGAGAGGAGAATTAAGTCACCTCTGTGGATGCAAAATGATCCCTAACTTTGGATTCTCCCGGGTTTTCTTTAATTAATTAATTAATTAATTTTTATTAAAGGATTCTCCCAGTCTTTTTTTTTTTTGTAGTTTTTGGCTGGGGCTAGGTTTGAACCTGCCACCTCCAGTATATGGGGCCAGCGTCCTCTCCCAGTCTTTTTTTTTTTTTTGGTAGAGACAGAGTCTCACTTTATTGCCTTTGGTAGAGTGCCGGCTGTGGCGTCACAGCTCACAGCACCTTCAACTCCTGGGCTTAGGCAATTCTCTTGCCTCAGCCTCCTGAGTAGCTGGGACTACAGGCACCCACCACAACGCCCGGCTATTTTTTTGTTGCAGTTTGGCCAGGGCTGGGTTTGAACCCGCCACTGGGGCTGGCACCCTGCCCACTGAGTGACAGGTGCCACCCAATTCTCCCAGTCTTAATGGCCAAGGATACTCTAGAAATTAATGTCACCAAAACACAGTAAATTGATATAAATAACAGAGGATGTAGCATCTCTTTACAGACAATCTGTAGGACTGGTGCTTTCTAAATATGCCCATTTTGAAAGATGCTCAAACCTACAGAGTATATGGGTATAGGTAAAGCAGCGATTGGCAAACTATAACCCATGGGCCAAATCTAGCCTGCTGCCTGTTTTTGTAAATACAGTTTCATTGGAACACAGCCATACTCATTCATTCATAAACTGCCCATGGCTGCTTCTGCACTGCAAAGGCAGAAATGACAACTGGGAGAGAGACTATCTGGCCATTTACAGAAAAAGTTTGCAGACCCTGCCCTGGAGAGTAAAGGCAATTTAGGGAGGGAACTGTTCCCCTTTGAAAAGGTCTTTAAAAAAGAGACCCCAAGGGCAGCGCCTGTGGCTCCAAGGAGTAGGGCACTGGCCCCCATATACTGGAGGTGTCAGGTTCAAACCCAGCCCCAGCCAAAAAAAAAAAAGAGAAACCCCAAGCTGGACATTGTGGCTCACGCCTGTAATCCTAGCACTCTGGGAGGCCAACACAAGTGAATCACCTGAGCTCAGAAGTTCAAGACCAGCCTAAGCAAGAGCAAGACCCCATCTCTACTAAAAATAGAAAAACTAGCCAGGTATAGTAGTGGGTGCCTGTAGTCCTAGCTACTTAGGAGGCTGAGGCAAGGGGATCACTTGAGCCCAAGAGTTTAAGGTTGCTATGAGCTATGATGCCATGGCACTCTACCAAGGGCAACAAAATAAAACTATCTGGAAAAAATAAAAAAAGACCCAAGCATTTAATCATTAGAACCTGATTCTACTACAAGTTTCCAAGCACTGGAAACTTCACTCTTGAGGCACAGAATCTGTTGGGCAATAATGTCATGGGTCACCAATGTGACAAAATCCTCTCTATGCTTTAAGCAATCTCTCACCCATGCTAAGCTGTGATCCCTGACCACCGCTATGAAACCCAGGAAAGGGAGGCAGAGGGGCAGGGAGAGAGAGAGAACCTATACACATACATATTCACACACACATACATACACTCAGGGATCATTCCAAAGGGAGCTTTTCACATCCTGGTGCAAAGGCAAGGGCGGTGACTATGTGCTCCTGAAAGCTCTGCTGTGAGGAAGCCCAGCTCTGTGCTCCATCCACTTTCATTCACATGCTAGCTTGCTGTCAAAGCTAGAAAGCCCAATGGCAAAGGCCTGAAGTGCACACAGTGGGTAGTTGTAGTCCAGTGTGAACACGTCATCTGCCACTCGTCCAAACTGCATGACTATATAGTCGGCTGGAAAAAGAAAGGAGTCAGGGGGTTAGAAGATAATGTGGTTATACTGAGAAAAAGGCCTATTAAAGATACAGAAAGAATCCTCCCAATAGGTCAGTTTATAACCAGGTCTCTTTAAAAGGAAACCTTTAAAGGGTGAAAAGAGGTATTAAGAAGAGTATTTGGGGCGGTGCCTATGGCTCAGTGAGTAGGGCGCTGCCCCCATATACTGAGGGTGGTGAGTTTGAACCCAGTCCCAGCCAAACTGCAACAGAAAAATAGCCAGGCGTTGTGGCGAGCACCTGTAGTCCCAGCTACTTGGGAGGCTGAGGCAAGAGAATTGCCTAAAACCAAGAGCTGGAGGTCATTGTGAGCTCTGATGCCATGGCAGTCTACCCAGGGTGACATAGTGAGACTGTCTCAAAAATAAATAAATAAAAATAAAGAAGAGTATTTGCTAACCATGAGCCCAGTTTTTAGTACTATTCCTCTCACGTACAGAGCATGGGAGACTTTCTGAGTACCATGAAAAGGGAAGAGGAAGGAAAGAGCAGCTTGCTGGGAATAGCACAAGCTCCCTGGGCTGCAATTACCAAGAAACCTTTGCTCCCAAACAGCTGAACCTGAGACTTCTCTGATTAGCCACGACACATCTCTCACACTCCTCTCTTCTCCTCAACACAGATTTAGTAGTTTTCCTCTAAAATGGTAGTTTTGTTTCTCCGAATAAATCATTTAATGCTACTTCCCTATCTTATAAGAGTGTCTTTCTGCTTATTCCCACCCAATCCTTCCTGCAGGCTTACGGTCATTTCCATGGACTATCTGAAAGTTCTTCACAGATGCCTGGGTCACCCGGCCATGGAAATTCAGGACGTAGGACTGGGTGTCATCGTTCCACACTGGGGCCTTGTTGTGCAATTCAATCAAGTTCTCCATGGTCTTGTTTTGCCATTTCGAAAGCAAGCCCTCATGATCCTGTCCAAAGGGAAATCATAACTTGGTACTGAGAGCCCCAAGATCTCATTCATCCTCAACTCTGTGAGGTAGAAGGTAGAGTTGAGGGATATTTTCATTTCAGAAAAGGAAAAACAGAAGCAAAGAATTAAAGCAAAAATTAAGAGAGAGCCAGATGCGGTGGCTCACGCCTGTAATCCCAGCAGGTTTGAGACCAGCACAGGCCTGACCTACAGCGAGACCTTGTCTCTAAAAATAGATGGGTGTTGTGGCGGGCACCTGTAGTCCCAGCAACTCAGGAGGCTGAGGCAAGAGAATTGCTTGAGCCCAAGTTTGAGGTTGCCATGAGCTGTGATGCCATCACACTCTACCAAGGGCAACAAAGTGAGACCCTGTCTCAAAAAAAAGAAACAAAAATAAATTAAGGGAAGTTTTTAAATTCTTATGCACTAGCCAGCATTTCTCTTTGCAGAAAAGTGATTTCAAATCAATGACCTTAGCAACCATCTGCAACTGTACTTATCCTGAGGTATTGGAGTGATGGTTCTCCTAAAAGAAGGGTGGGAGCCATACTCCAGTTTAAGGTTCTCAAAGAATCGGTACTTTTTTCTTTTGAGACAGAATCTTGCTATGTCACCCTCAGTAGAGTACTGTGGCATCACAGCTCACAGCAACCTCAAACTTTTTTGGGGTTAAGCGATTCTCTTGCCTCAGCCTCCCAAGGAGCTGGGACTACAGGTGCCCACCACAAAGGCTGGCTATTTCTTGTTGCAGTTGTCATTGTTGTTTAGCTGCCCAGGCTGGGCTTGAACCTGCCAGCCTTGGTGCATGTGGCTGGCACTATAACCACTGGGCTATGGGAACCAAGCCAGAATCAGTACTTTTTTTTGTACTGATCTCTCTGTTTTTGTTTTATTGTCTTTTAGAGTCCTTTGCTGATTGAATATGTTCTTACTTACATTTCGTGGTCGAAATGGAATCCGTTCATGATTCATGTTCATCCCTGGAATGATCACAGACATTTTCCTAGGACCTTTAAATCCAAGAACATTTGTTTCCTGGAAGACAGAAAAATAAAGCAGAATTTAGAAACAGAAAAGAAAGAGAGACCATTCTGTTATAACCCAAGACCTTCTTAAGCATGTAAAATGTTGACTATGTCAAGAGCACCATAAAAAGTTTTATTACTTTGCCATAGTTAAGTAGAGAATCAAAAACAGGAAAGTAATGCTGTACCTCTTTTTATTTTATTATTATTTTTAGAGACAGTCTCACTTTGTTGCCCTCGGTAGAGTGCCAGGGTGTCACAGCTCACAGCAACCTCCAGCTCTTTGGGCTTAGGGCTTTAGGCAATTCTCTTGCCTCAGCTTCCTGAGTAGCTGGGACTACAGGCGTCTGTCATAATGCCTGGCTATTTTTTATTGCAATTTGGCCAGGGCCGGGTTTGAACCTGCCATCCTTGGTATATGGGGCTGGCACCCTACTCACTGAGCCACAATGAGTGGCTGCCCCTTTTATTATGTTTTTGAGACAGTTTTGCTCTGTTGCCCAGGCTAGAGTGCTGTGGCCCCAGCCTAGCTCATAGCAAACTCAAACTCCTGGGCTCAAGGGATCGTCCTACCTCAGCCTCCCAGAGTGCTAGGGTTACAGGCGTGAGTCGCCTCTTAAAAGTGTACCTCTTTTTAAACTTTCTTTTTTTTTTTTTTGAGAAAGAGCCTCAAGCTACCCTGGGTAGAGTACCATGGCATCACAGCTCACAGCAACCTCAAACTCCTGGGGTTAAGTGATTCTCTTACCTCAGCCTCCCAAGGAACTGGGACTACAGGTGCCCTCCACAACACCCGGCTACTTTTTTTTGGGGGGGGTTGTAGTTGTCACTGTTTGGCAGACCTGGGCCAGATTTGAACCTGCCAGCTCTGGTGTATGTGGCTAACACCTTAGCCTCTTAAGCTACAGGCACCACCACTCTTTTTAAACTTTCAACACTTGCGTGTAAAACAGATTCTATTAGCTTGAGACTTTACTCTTATTCTTTAGTCTTATATGAAATTTGAGACAACTGTGAACAAACCATCCAAATCTGTCACCATCAATAAATATTTATTTCCCAGTGAGGGCATGGCAGTATATAATATACAGTGAGAATTAGTTTTAATTAAATAGGGCCTATACTAGGAAGTTAAACATTCAAATGCCTATCAAGCCAGGTAGATTATATGAGTATACATAAGCACAGTAGATAAGTATATGTATGTGTATTCATATACATATATACAAAAGCAATAGAGGAAAAATACTTTATACCATAAAGTGTTAAGTCAAATCATTCTCAGGCACTTAGATGAAATCTCATGGGAGCTAAGTGATGAGATTAAATTCAGTTCAAGGAAAGTTGAGACTTTGGAAACAAAGATAACAACTGATTGGGCTGATTACGTCTTGCTTTCTTTTTCTCAACTACTCTTCGAATGCTGCTGTGCAGGAGGCCGTGTGCTAGTGTGGATACAGCAGGGAATAAGAGTTCACAAAAGTGGCTCGGCGCCTATGGCTCAAGCGGCTAAGGCGCCAGCCACGTACACCTAAGGTGGCAGGTTCGAATCCAGCCC